AAGAACCTTGTCTATATGTAATCCGAGAACAACCCGTAGCGTCACCAAAACCAAAACTTTACTGCAATGGTGTTAAAATTAAACACAAGTATCATCCGATACAAGAACCTTGTCTATATGTAATCCGAGAACAACCCGTAGCGTCACCAAAACCAAAACCTTACTGCAATGGTGTTAAAATTAAACACAAGTATCATCCGATACAAGAACCTTGGCTATATGTAATCCGAGAAGAACTTGTAGTGTCACCAAAACTTTACTGCAATGGTGTTAAAATTAAACACAAGTATCATCCGATACAAGAACCTTGTCTATATGTAATCCGAGAAGAACCTGTAGTGTCACCAAAACCAAAACCTTACTGCAATGGTGTTAAAATTTAGATATAATTACAATACATCAGTTATACAAAAAAAAAATATTATTGCCTGAAATAACTACTTATAAAGCTCACAACATATTTTTCACCTGTCAAACTGAAACTTTTAAATATGAAAACATCATTCAGATGTCCCATTTGTAACATATAACATGACGTAGTAAAGCACAATTTCATATTTGAATTACCAAGTACAACATATTCTTCACCTGTCAAACTGAAACTTTTAAATATGAAAACATCATTCAGATGTCCCATTTGTAACATATAACATGATGTAGTAAAGCACAATTTCATATTTGAATTACCAAGTACAACGTCTTCTCCTTCTGTGTCACATTCAGTAGGAGGTACAGTTGAGTTGAAGTAATCCGAGAACAACCCGTAGTGTCACCAAAACTTTACTGCAATGGTGTTAAAATTAAACACAAGTATCATCCGATATGAGAACCTTGGCTATATGTAATCCGAGAAGAACTTGTAGTGTCACCAAAACCAAAACCTTACTGCAATGGTGTTAAAATTTAGATATAATTACAATACATCAGTTATACAAAAAAAAATATTATTGCCTGAAATAACTGCTTATAAAGCTTACAACATATTCTTCACCTGTCAAACTGAAACTTTTAAATATGAAAACATCATTCAGATGTCCCATTTGTAACATATAACATGACGTAGTAAAGCACAATTTCATATTTGAATTACCAAGTACAACATATTCTTCACCTGTCAAACTGAAACTTTTAAATATGAAAACATCATTCAGATGTCCCATTTGTAACATATAACATGATGTAGTAAAGCACAATTTCATATTTGAATTACCAAGTACAACGTCTTCTCCTTCTGTGTCACATTCAGTAGGAGGTACAGTTGAGTTGAAGAACTCCCACGTCCGAGGCGTTAGGTCGGGTCCATCTTCTGTGAGTTCTAAACTCAGACCCTCTCCCAGAGACAAGTTACTGAAGTCTTCCCTGGATCCATGACTAGCTGCTGTTCCTATAGCAAAGACACCTTACGTTAATTATAAAAAACGGATTATTCAGAAAAACAAATGTATGAAACAAAATCATCACGTACTTATATAATTAGTTTTACACTTTCATAATAAAGGTTATTAAGGTAGTTATTTATTTATAGTTAAGGACAAAGCTGCACAATGGGCTATCTGTGCTCTGCCCAGCACGGGTATCAAAACCCAGTTTCTAGCGTTGTAAGTCCGCAGACATACTGCTTTGCCACCGGGAAGGCAAGGTAGTTAAAACATAACTCATTAAAAATAAGAGTATTGAATACAGAAAGACCACATGATAAATCAACACATTAAATGCACATAGACTCACCATGGTCATCATCTTGATTTCCATCATTCAAATATCCAGCATCTAAACCAAGCTTAGTCAAATGGTTTTGTATATCATGTTCAGTGTCCAAGAAGGTTTTTACCAGATGCGATAAGACGTTAAGAAGACGGGAGTTTGTCTGAGCCGTATCCCTGTGTCAAAAAACACGCTTCACATTAACATTATAATCAATCATAAAATAGCTCTATCACTTGAAAGAAATTACTATCTGAAGAAAAACTGTGATATTTTTATACACACAGACTGTCTGTAAAATGTACTATCACACTTCCCAGCACACCTTTAAATACTAAAATGGTTGTTTAATTTTTCTATCTTTATTATTATTATTGTGTTTTATTTTATCTCTCAATGATGGGCCTAAAATCAAGCAAGCCATGATGGATGTTGATTTTGAATATGAAACAATCATTTGTCCAGAAAGACATAAAAGTCTGTGAAGTATGTTGACACTGAAAACCATAAACCTCACAGATCTGTGGAGTTATTTAAAAATAATTATTTTTCATAATTAATTCTGTTTCAGATAACATTACACTGATTGCTTTGATGGGGAAGGGGCAACCAATTACAAAATATTTTTAAGAAAATATTTGAGATTAATGCCTTTTACTCTTTTATCTACTTTGAATATTACAAAGCACTTTTAGTGATTTCTGTAAACATATTCAAATAGTTGAGTACATTACATTAAAACAATTTTGAATATGAAAATCAATAAATCCTAAAACATTTTCAAATTGTTTGCCTTTTGTAGTTATAGTGTAATGCACCCAAAATTTGTTGTTTTTGGAAATGGTATACAACAGCTGTTTCTGAAGCAAAATATTCATACATTCAGATCTTAAAGATGTGTTCAGTTCAGGGGTTCAGAATTTCTAAGTTGGGGATATCTCTTGTACTTATTAGCATTTGAAAAAAGAAAAATAAATATGGATCAGTTTGAGGCACCAGTACCACCCAGAAAGAGACTTGCAACATGCCAGATACCAGCCACAGTAATCAAACAGATGAGAACTCCAAAACAAAGTTCAGTGGATAAACAAGTCCATGTGTTCCAAGTAACAGTATGGAACATAATCAAGAAAGATCTCCACTTGGATCATGTGTACAGAAGTTGCTTCCACAATACATCCATTTAATCACTGCATACCTCAAGCAGCTAGAGAAATGAAATGGGTTTTCATGCTATTCCATTCATAGGCACAACAGTAAAGTCACATGTTACCACACTTATGGATCTCTGTGCAATTGGACTGCTGAAACAGGTTCTGGAAAGCCATCTTCTTCATGCATTATGTTGGTCATAGAAAGCCAGCAAGGAGGCTTTGAACATGATAGCCTTACAATAGTCTTTTGCAATGAAAACTACACTACAGGGCTATTGTCAAGATACACTGTTATCACATAATGTACTCAATTTCTGTAAATGGATAGACATGTGAAAGAAAACAACTGCCAGGTGAAAGAAAAGCTTTGACCTATCAGGATGATGTACACAAACTGCTCTCACATGATAAAGCTAAGTAAACTATCTGGTAATAGCCATCCAAGTTTCTGTGGAGTTTGCCACCTGGAGAAGTACGTGAGTTTAAGTGCTGTTTTTTTACAAAGATAAAATGTAAAGTGGTAAAAATCTTACAATCAAATAGCTTATTCTTTAACAAGACTAACTGGATAACTAAATGAGATCAACAGAACTTAAATTGTTCCTATTTTGCTTCTTCCTGACAATATAATACGAGTTACCAGTTTTAAAATTAAACTATTTACAGTAATAAATCAGACCTAACTAAACTAACTAAACAAATTCAAATTTCTTAGGAAACATTTTATTTTACGATGAAAAGATAGTCTGCCTCATTAAGTAATAAGCTTAAGATTAGAATTGCAAAAAAATATTTGAATTCTATTTGATTAGCTTTAAAAAATTCGATAAAAAGAACATTTAAACGTACTAAGTTTACAGAGAATGAAATTAAAACCCAAGTAGCATAGTTAAAAAGGAATGTCATTTTCACTAATATAACAATTATGTAATGTACCCATATTGGGTATTTAACTATCAAACTCACATTTTACACAAATATACATCCTAAAATATGACCTTATCTTACTGGTAGCTATATCATTTCAGCTGAATTGCATCTTGAGTGGGTTTCTTATTACAACTTCAAGTTCATAGTTATGATCGAATATAAATGGTTAAAACATGAAACTTAAGTCTTTTTTTTTTTGTATATTAAGATTTGTTTCCCCTATTATAATAATAATAGCTATAAAGACTCTAGTAGTTTAAACCAATATTTTGTCTGGTTAAACCCAAGCAACAAAATTTCTGTTTGAAGTAATATGCATCCTTAGATATATTAGGCCTACAAAGAAAATCTCAGTAAAAAAAAACAACAGGTTGTACAAGATCACAAAAAAAAGCTAATTGATAATGCAGGTTTTATATTTTGTGGTGTGTTATTTTATTGTATATTTTTAAAGAACAGTATTATGACTGTACTAGATGTATAACATTAATGGTGAATTTAAAAAAAACATTACATTCATACCAATCAATGACATTACATTTTCACATAAATTAAAGTGTATCACACAAGGTATCACGTTACAGTTTTGTGTGTGAATGTGCTTGTTTGTGCTAACAGCTGGTTATTTAGTGGGTAATCACAACACTCATACAAGATTTATTACACATGAATACATCAAAATGCTGTGGGATAAACTGTTATTTTCCTTTCCATGCCTATATAATTAATATATCTACTTAGATACATACATAATCACATGAACTGTTCCATAACAAATATCAATACTGTTAACTAGCTCTGCAACAACAAGGTTAAATAAACAATAAGGTATCTTTATTACAGTACTTAAGCAGCCAACACGTTTGTAAGGATATGCAAAGAGCAGCAGCAGTTATGGATTAGCAAGATATTGTAATAAAGAGAAAGTCCCTTAAACTGAGGAAGCCTAATTATTTTCATATTAGTTTTGTAGGAAACAAATTTTTTGCAGATATTAAGTATCAAGTTTCCTTATAAACACAATAATTTTATTAAAGCACAAAAAACAGATGGTTAAGCTCATTTAACAGGTCTCACAGGAACAGACTGTTTCACAGGAAACAAAGCTTTCTATTAAGTACAAAGCAGCAAACAATCGTGTTAATTTCACAAAATATAAAGGATTAGGGTTCTCCAAAAGCAAGAGGAGTTAGCCACCACCAACAGCCCACATGTAAAATAGGTTATATGACTTACACCTGCCACGACTGTATATCAATGGTTGACAACTCTGACCCTGTTTGCCAATCCCTAGAAGTGAAAAGTAAAGGCTGATGACAACAGTTGATTGTTGTGCATGAAATCACATCAATTTCTTTTTTCTTAATAAGATTTCATTAGAGAAACTGGCTTTTCAACAAATTCTTTGACTTAATCTAACTTAAGTCTAAGAGCAGACAATTTTATTAATGTCCTAGCAAAAAACAATGTACCTAGTGAAAACAGCATTCACGTTTAATCTTCAACACAAATAATACAAAAACATGTAGAAAAATTTCTTAATTAAAACAGCAAGAATGCTACACTAATGTTACACAAATTTTACTGTTCTTACAATCTTGTAAAACAAAAACCTTTAATAGAGAAGTTTCATTTGACGTATAAATGTACATGTTATCACAAAACACCGAATGTTAGATTTCCCTCTAAGACAAAAATATAAAGCCTATAATCCGAGTATTTTTGAAACGTTGACCTTTCTGTATCAGGGGCAAACTGGTCCAATCTTTTGAAAGTGAATGGGTTATAATGATTTGAATTTTTATCTTAAATTGATTTTTTGAACCTGTGTGTTTTCCTAACATCATGATTTTCTTCTAAATATTCTAAAAGACATGGCTATCAAAAGGCATAACAAGAACATTTACATAAACATAGGAGCACAAATAGTGTTGTATGACAATATAAACCCTCAGCAAGCATACTGACACTAGTTACATTAAAATTTATAGAAGTAAATAAAAGACAGACTAACAGGAATGATAAAACAAACATTCAAACTTTTTGAAAGTGATAACTATTATTATAATTTCACCATTCTGGGATACACCTTCTGTTAGATTTAACCTCTATTCACAAGTTCCATCTTTGTCACATTATACTGACTGTAATCAGTTGTGGACGAGCTAATATCATTTATAGAAGGTAAATAAAAGACAGACTAACAGGAATGATAAAACAAACATTCAAACTTTTTGAAAGTGATAACTGTTATTATAATTTCACCATTCTGTTCAGTTTAAATATTAGCTCATCCACAACTGATTACAGTCAGTATAATGTGACAAAGATGGAACTTGTGAATAGAGGTTAAATCTAACAGAAGATGTATCCCTACCTCTGATACAAGGTGTATCCTTACCTCCAATACAAAGTGTATCTTTACCTCTATGTGGAACTTGTTTCATTAGAAACATCTAACAACAAAACAAAATTATAACATCCCAATGATATTTGTTTTGTCCTTCTTGCTACATTTTTACTTTCATTTAATAACCTGATTCCTAAAATCTATAAATAGAGATATAATGGAAACAAATTACAGTATGTATTAAACTTTATTCAAAGTTTATTTTTTGTTTTTTAAGAAAGATGACATTTATCATTCAATGTTCTACAGCATCTTTAAATATCAATTATTAGGCTAAAGAAAGTACAACTTTAATGAATTTTATGAAAGATAACTTTAAGAAAACTGTCAACTTTCATAAAGAAAAAAATTAAAAGTTAGAATGCGAGCTTAGGTCCCAAAGGTTAGTTCCAGATGTTTTTATCATTATCTTTAATTTTATTTTTTATCAGCAGTTTATTTAATTACTTATTTTATTTTAACAGCTTTTAATTTTGTGCTTTCCCAGGTGTACTTGAAAAATGGTATATCATGAAACCAACTACAACTAATGTCATCAAAACTCTCATACAAAATTCAATTCCTACGATAACTTTATATTATACACTTCACTGTAGCAATGTAGCAAATCACTTAAAATTTAATTTTTGATAGACAGACAGACATATAGGTAAATAGATAATGTTTTTGTAAATTTAAGTTTTCAATGTTTTTGAATTATTTTCTGTAACCATTCAATTCAATTCCTACGATAACTTTATATTATACACTTCACTGTAGCAAA